TAGTGGAAGAGATGCTGCAGTGGGAGAGGGAAGGAGTCCTTCCCGACCAACTCACCATGGTGCGATACACACTCTTGCCCAAGTCGGCAGAGGATGAGAGGCCCATAGGTCTAACCAGCTACCTTTATCGGTCCTATTGTCGTCTTCGATGGGACCTGTACGCGCAATGGCTTGAAGACTACCGGCGTAGTGCGCCATGGGACCGAGCCCTTCCAGGGCACTCGTCTCTTGACACAGCGCTGGCTAGAACAGCGCGGCANNCCAGGGCCTGACGGCAGTCAGTGTTGATTGGGAGGTTCCTTGGCGGCCGCACGCGGCACTGCATGTGCAGCTGCAGTGGGGCGTTGGCCAGCTACCAATGCTTCAGGTTCTGAAAAAGCCGGCTGTCAGGGCCAAGAGGGAGGCGTCCTTCTCTTGGTCCCCGGCCCCATTTGTCCGTGTCATGTCGCATGTGCAAATCAATCGTCCCACCCGGTGGTTGGCAGACTTTAGCCACAGCGTTGAGTGCTCCCTTCTGGAGCATGGAGACGGGGGCCGAGGCTGGAACCTAGCTTGGGTGAGGAAGCCCCTTGCACCCCAGCAGCCGGAGGGCACACAGTGGAAAGGCAACCTCGCTGGTTTTTGGAACCGTCTGGGGGTTTGGTTGGTTTCTTATCCGGGTACTGTCCCGCCCGGAGTTCAAGCAAAGATTAAGGAACACCTGGTCAAGGTTGCCGACAACTGGCACGACGACAGCTCGGGCATGACGGCTGGGGAGTTTGCGGACAGGATGTGTCAAAGCTTTCCGGACGCAAGCCGGCCACAAGTGTTGGTCGATGTGGTTAAGACACAACTGCGGAGTGCAGTCCAGAAGGACACACAGGAACGCAACCAACGATACCAGGCGTGGCTTTCCCAGGCTACCTCTGGTCACATGAGAGCACTTTGGCGGGCACTCAAAACCCATGAGGCCAAAACCCAGCGTCCATACCAGGATCTTGGCTCGGAAGTCCGGATTCACGCCCGTAGAGCGGGGTGGTGGGAGATTTGGTGTGCTGCGGACACAGGCCGCGACGCTGGTCAGTTGCGTACCCTGAGCACACAGGTACGAATGGCGGCGCAAGCGCAGTCGCAGCAGCTGCGACCAATCAACCTGCAAAGAGCCCATCACAAGTTCCGAACCATTGCTCGTAAGGCATGCGGGCCGGACGAATGGACGGCTGACATGCTGCGGGCCCTTGATCAGGAGGCCGGGACTCTCCTAGTGGAAGAGATGCTGCAGTGGGAG